ATGGCGAAGTTGATTCTTCGATAATACCTTGATCTAGCATACCTTTTATTTGAGTTTCGACTTCATGTTTGTGTACTTCAGGATACCTGTATGATTTAGTGCTAATAGGTACATTAGAATTTAAAGGAATTTTGCAAGTTATGGCATTTGTACTGGTAAGTTGATCTCCTTCCAGATAAAAGATATGATTGTACTCCTTGCAAATAGAAATTAAAGATGATTTTTCTTCACTATTTAAATGATCTGTTCTCAAGGCATTTTTTAATTTAGCAATTCTGTTAGAATTCGTATTATCTTTATAAGAAGACATTTTTCGTATATTTGCATTGTTTTGTAAATTTGGAATTTTTTCTATTGCTACTTGAATATCGTTTAATTCAACATCCGTTTCAGTAGTGTTTACGATTGAGGTTAAAAAGAAATCATTTTTTACTTTAACAACACTAGGACATAAAAATACACCTTTAAAGATTTCGCGTTCGGGACATAATCCTTCGCTTAATTCATTATTTATTACTTTAATTTGAACAATTGTTTCAGTTCTTGCGGATAGAATAGTTTTATTACTTCTTGAGTTAGAATTAGAGTTTTGATTTAGTATAAGATCGTCTGAACAGGATTTTTCTTCTGAACAAGATTTTGATTTATGATTTCGTGAAGAGTTACAAGTTTTATTTGTGCATATCTCAGTGGATTTTACACATTTTGGACTTGAATTTTCTTTGGATTTAGAGTTAGATTTAGATTGAATTGGATTGGATAGTAGTTCTTCACTACTTAAGGTTATTTGGATATCATTGGTTTCTAAATAAGAATGATCCTCTATGGATTTAGCATCATAAGGAAATATTTCATCGATATTAGAACTTGTCTCGATATTTTGATCTCTCAGAAATTCGTCATTGTCATTGTTTAATGGAAATTTTATATATTCAATTGGAATAGAACAATTTTTAAAGTTTAATTTATTTTCTTTATAATCAATTTGGCATTTATTTATTTCAAAAAAATCGCTACCTAATATACCGTCGAAATGAAGAGGAAAATCGTCTTCTACGACATAGAAAACATGAGTTTGGACAAAATCTTTTATCTTGAAATTTACGTTACAACTACATATAGTTTTATTTGGATTTAAGACATTTTTATCAATGCCTCGTAGAGTAATAGACTTAGAATAAATTTTTGGAATGTTTAGTATTTTTGAATATTTAATTAAAGAAATATCTGCGCCTGTATCGATTAGAAACTTGCAAGAGGATGGATTAGAATTATTTACTAAGGGTAAATCTACATAGGAAGTGACTGAGAAGTTGATGGTTGTGATACGGCCTGAACTGAACGAACTCCTCGAGAATCGACCGTTGGTTGTCGAGGATTCTGGAAGTTTAAAGAATTTGTTGGATTTTTGTTTTTATTGTTAAATTCGCGTTTTCTACATTCTTCTATAACGTGACCTGGTTTTTTGCAGTATCTGCAAAAACGTTGGGAAGTGTTGGTATTTTCTTTTCTTAAGTTTGGAGGAAAATCAGAATTGGAATTTGAATTTGAAGGTTTATAATTTTGATTTTGAGAATTTGACCTTTGAAGATTTGAATTAGGATATTTTGGGTTTTGAAAACTAGAATTTTGAAGATGTCTAACATTTCTATCTGAATTGTTTTTATATCGACAGTTATTTGAGGAATGGTTATTTCGTTTGCAAATATTACAGAATGGTCTGAAAATTTCTTGTCTTGATAACTGTTCTTGTTCTTCGGCAATTGCTATAGCAACAGCTCTTTCTAAGGAATCTGGATTTCGGGCTTTGATTAAAATAGAGAGGTCTTTGTTTAATCCTCTAATAAAGACATTTAGTGCTTGAGTTTTTAAGAGTTTAGTACATGCATTTCTTGCATCTGGAGATAAGTCTGGATCAAGTGTATTTATTAATTTTATATAGCAATTTTCAACTTTATTTGCAAATGACATTACATTTTCACTGGGCATCTGACGTAAGGAATGTAATTCCAATTGCCACTGACCTTCAGTTCGGCGTTCAGAATAAGCATCTAATAAGAAGTCTTTTAAATCTTTCCATTCGTCAAATGTTCTGTTTCTAGTTATGGCCCTAGCTTTATCGGTTAATTTAGTTTCTATAATGGCTAATAAGATGGGTTTGGATTGCGGATTTACTAAATTGTATGCTTTATCACAATTGTCTATGAATTCGTATAATTTTGATTTTGTACCATCAAATCTAATGAGAAGTTTTTCAGCTATTTCAATTGATACTGACATTTTATTTGAATTAGAAGTAGAAGAATTTGAAAGAGAATTTGAGTCGGGAGAAGGTATTTGTTCGTCAAATAAGTTACTTATATCAGGATATAAAGTAGACATACGTTTACAAGATTTTTAAAATATGAGACAGAATTTAAGATAGAATGTACTTACAAGTAGAATATTGTTGTTGGTCGCATAGTCTATTATTCCACGGGTTCACCTCTACTTCCGATGGAACTACAATTGGGTTATGACTGGAACTGGATTTCGAACTGGATGTACTGGACCCCAATGTAATTAGTTGTAGTGGCGATTTTTCCACACTGACAGTTTTTTTTGAATGATTCCTCGAAGGAAACAAGTCAATTCAAAAATTCCTCAGCTCTCCTTCTATCAGCAATCAGAGGAACTCTGCTACTAATATCCCACGTTCTGACACCAAATTTTGTTATGGAATACTATGCGTTTATTTCTTCTCCGGACTAACTCTTTGTTTTGGAATTAAACAGAATATATTGACATGTATAAATTTATTATATTAGAGGATGAAAATTACACTGCCTGTTATTTCTTAAAACTATGAATTTATAAGTTCTGTTATCTACAATTATTTAACGATGTTTCTGGATGGATTTGAGTACAAGAGATTGGACTCAAATATTAATATTAAAATAGCAAATACGGATAGCTTATCGAACAAAGAAATAAGAGAAATAAATTATTATTATTCCATAGATACGAAGTATTAGGCGAATAAACTAGCGAAACTTATTTATTCTAAATAGGAAAATATTTATGAAGAGTATTGATTCTGATTTCTAACAGCAAATAATTATTAGTGATTATACATGAGAACTTTTCATAATTGTAAATAACATATACCAGGTGACTAAAAACTATATAGAAATACATAGATACTTTAATTATCTTACATGTGAGTAGGTAGGTACATTACAGTCCTTTATACTTCTGGGTGCATGATTTCTGTCCCGGACCCTTTGTTTAAGCTCATTACAAACATGCTCTCAGGATTTATGGCAGGGCTCAACGCAGGCCAATTTATTGTAGGTATACCGACCTCAGTCCCATAGGTGGTGGTGACTCGTGCGGTATGGCATCGTGCATTATTCTGCATTAAAATAAAGGCATCGCCAATAAATCCCGCGTATGGATCCACATGTTCCTTCATAGTGTCTCTGATGTAACAATCCGCCATTAAACCTCCTTCATGTCCTCCACCAGCACAAAAACCAACTCGGTTTTTCCATCCATGAAAATACCTGCTCAAAATATACAAGAACCGTCTCCATATGACATAATTTCTCGTATACAATATTGAGCAAATAGCAAATCACTTTCCTGGCTTTTTATAGACTCAACGCCTTTTGTCGTTGCCATGTAGGCAGATCCTACTTTCGTCGGACAATAATACCTGACTCTATTGATAGTCGTCCCAATCCAGATGTTCGCGAGCAAATTCTAATCGCCTTTGTTTCTAAACTGCATTTAGATTGGGACCCGCAACTGCCTTTTTATTGTCAGGTTGGCTACCTTTAGTCTCCTTCTGACTATCCAAATGCTGGTAACCACACCTCAGACCTCTCTAAGATTTTCTTTGCGATTAACACCAGTCAAATGTCAATTTCTCAGGATTTCGATACAAGAAATCTATCATCTCTCTCCGTTATTATTCGTTTATCCCTCCTCTTTGTCGGCGAACATAATCACCAGTATCTTAATACCGACGGGCGACGATACACTCGGGACACAGCATATTGGCTTAAATGTAGTCGATTTGCCACGGTCCTCTGGCTCAGGCCTTCTGTCAATAATGCTAGTGCTTGAACTACTTGTTTGGATGTGGTATCCATTTTTAATGCATTTGCTTACTTACTGATGTATCAGTGGATTGTTATGAAAATTGAGGCCTACGATGTTAACCGAATGAGTTAAGTCGGTGCGTGTCGATTTCAATGAGTCAAATTCTGACCCCCTCCCTATGTGTTGCATTATTTCTTTGTAATACGTCATTCAATTTACCAAAAACCAAAACTTTTTTAAAACTCAATATTGAGGTTAATGATTCTATACTAAATTTCACTTTTTAGATTGAAAAGAGAGACGTACATTCGCAAAATAAATTTGAGTCGTTTATTTTTCACTAAGTATATATATATATATATATATATATATATATATAATATATATATATATATATATATATATATATATATATATATATATTTAAAATATATTCAATGCTTGAATTGCAGAGGTTTGATTGGTTAATAATTGGCAAATGAAAGTCGTCAACTACTTAATTGATTTACTAGAATACGTTTCGATTTTATTTTTAAAAGCATCATCAGTTCACTACAAATATAAATGATCTTAGAATATAAGTTAACAACGAACAGGGTTCATACTTACAAAAACAAACTTAAGATTAAAACTTAAGTAACTGAACGAGAAAAAAAAAAACAAAAAACACAAGAAAAACTGTAAAAGAGCAGTATTGTTAATTTATTTATTTGTTGGTGATTTTTTTCATTTGACCAATGGTCTGGTCTTTTTCTTTAAGTGCCGTCTCCCATTCGGCGGTTGGATATGATCATCACTATCTTTACTTTATCTACTGCTGCTCTGAAGAGTTCTATAGAACTGCATTTAAACCAGTCCCTTAAATTCTTCAACCATGACACTCTCCTTCTTCCTATGCTCCTTCCTCTTTTTATCTTTCCCTTTATTATCAGCCTTAGCAGTTCATATCGCTGTCCCCTCAATACGTGTCCCAGATATTGTAACTTTCTTATTTTTATTGTGTTTATTATTTCGCATTCTTTGCCTATTTCGCGCAATACATCCGTGTTAGTTTTCTTCTGTGTTCATGCTATTGTAAGCATCCTCTTGTAACACCACATTTCAAAGGACAGTAACATATTTATGTGTTTTTGCTTTAATGTCCAGCTTTCAAGTCCATATTGCAGTATTGAAAACACGTAGCATCTCAGTACTCTTACTCTCAGTTCTAACTTAAGATCTTTGATGCAGAGAATTGTTTTCATTTTTACAAACGCATTTCTTGCTATTTCTATCCTAGCTTTTATTTCGATTGTTTGATCATTATTGGATGAAATCCAGGTTCCTAGGTATTTTTATTTATTAACATTATCTATCTGTACATTTCCCAAATGTATGTTTGTTGGTATATTTGTTTTCTTTGTTATTATCATGTATTTGGTCTTTTTTATATTAATTTTTAGTCCATATTTTTCACAGGAACTGTTTTGTTTTGTTTAGCAGTAATTGGAGTTTTTCAGCAGAGCTTGCCATAATCACGGTGTCATCTGCATATCTTATGTTGGTAATAGACCTTCCGTTAATTATTATTCCTTCACTTTGAGATAGTAATGCTTCTTCAAAAATGGCTTCACTATATACATTAAATATTAATGAGGACATAATACATCCCCACCTAACTCCTCTCCTGATTTTAATTTCTGCACTGGGTTTGTTATCTATTATGATTTGTGCTCTTTGATTCCAGTAGAGGTTTGTTATTATTCGTAAGTCCCTATGGTCTATGTTTTTTGTCTTTAAAATTTGGACTAATTTTTCATGTCTTACTTTGTCAAATGCTTTTTCAAAATCAACGTAACAAACATGCACATCAACATTCATATCCATGCATCTTTGAGGTAACACATTAAAAGCAAATAACGCTTCTCTGGTTCCTAGTCCATTTCTGAACCCAAACTGACTATCATCTATTCCTTCTTCCAGTTTTTTATTTATACGACCATGTATTATTTTCAGGAATAATTGAGAATGTGACTTATGAGTGATATTGTTCTGTATTTACTGCAATATTTAGCGTTTGTATTTTTAGGGATAGCACAAAAGGTGGAGAGAAACCATTGTTTCGGTATGTGTCCTGTTTTGTATACTGAGTTAAATAAGTCTACTATAATGTCTAAGGTTTCATCATTTATGCATTTTAATCTGACTTTTACCTGGTCTGGATTTAATGCTTTACCATTTTCGCTGTTTTTTAATGCCATTTTAATTTCATCTTTTAATATCTTTAAACCCATATCCTCTTCTACTTCTATCTCCATCTGTTCTGTTCTATTGTCTTTGAACAGTTCATTGATGTATTGTGTCCATCTCTTTAATTTGTCGTTAGTATTCAACACAAGTTTCCCATTTGCATCTTTCAGTATTCCCGGTTTTCTTGTTCCATTGTTGTGAGTTAATTCTTTAATTTTTTATGTCTGTTAAAACTATCATGTCTTTTCTGATATTCTTCTATTTCTGCGCATTGTTGTTTTACCATTGTTCTTTCGCTTTCTTAATTTTTTTCGCGCATTTTTTCTCCGTCTCAGTATTTTGCAGAATTTGTTCTTTAACATTCATTAATCCGTTGTTGATTTCATCTGCCAGGCGTTGCCTTATGAGTGGGTTCCTTATTTTACTTTTATCGGTTTTTGCATTTATTGTTCTTCGTTTTATTTTCATTTTGAGCCTAATTTTGATCACTACTGGATTGTGATCTGATCCTATGTCGGCACTTGGATAGGTTTTTGCGGATTTAATTGGATTCCTGTATCTTTGCCTAACTAATACATAGTCTATTTGGTTTCTTACGATCCTCTTTTCTTGACCTGCTAGTGAATTCCAGGTATATAGTCTTCTCATTGGCATTTTGAAAAATGTATTAGCTATAACAAAATTATTGTTTTGGCAAAACTCGATAAGCCTGTCACCCCTTTCGTTTCTGTTGCCCAGACCATATCCTCCTGTACTTTCTTCTACTTTTTGTTCCCCAACCTTTGCGTTAAAGTCTTCCATTATAATTGTTACATCTTGCGTTTTAATGGATTTTAAAATGTTGTCTAGGTCTTCGTAGAAAGTTTCAATATCGCTCTCTGGTTTGTCTGCAGTTGGAGCATATAATTGTAGGATGTTTATTTTGGGTTTGTTCTGGTTTAATTGTAAGAGTATAATTCTGTTGGAGTATGGAGTGACATTTCTTTCAGACAACCTTTCTATTTCTTTAACGGCATTAATTACTTTTCCAGCTTGATGTAGACTTCTAACATTCCAAGTCGCTACTTTGCAAGGTTTTAGCATGTTGACGACCAGGGATGCTTTGCAGTCTTGGGAGTTTTCTCCTTTGCCGGATCTTGTTTTTCGAGTTTTATGATCAGTAGAGTGTTTGGTTGTATTGTTAGTCATGATGATTAACTTGGGATGCTCTATGAGCCTTTAATGCATTGGATTCCCGTTGTCCTATGCATCTCCACGCCGTTGACCGTGTCTGGTTCGTCCCACTTACTGGTGCCCTTCCACTTACCGACTCTTCCAACCAAAGCTGTTGGTCAGTAAGTGGGGGATTGCTTATACCGGCAATCACTCGGACGCCAAAGCCTCGTTATATAGCAGAATGTACCGGATGATCATGATCTAGATCATCTCAGGGGCAGTTAGTTTGACACTTGAATAGGAGAGGCTATGTATTGCGCACCACTATCCCTTACATTCTCATGAAAGGGTCAAACCACACTAAACTTTTCGATTGTTTTCTATCCGTTGTAGAGTGTCATAATTTCACATGTGGCCTGCTGTCGTACATGTGTTTTTTGGACTGCAGTGAGGTACGATTAACGAGGGAATTGGTAAACGAAAAGGATTTAAAAAAGGATTTTTTCCCTCTTTTTTCGAAGAAGAATAGGAATGAAGTTTATATACTGTAAGGTTTTTTTTATTTTTATTTGTTTTGCATGATGAGAGAGTAATATATCCGGTTCAAGTTGTCTATGTTTGTTCTTTTATTTAGGAACGCTGGATGTTTTAGACTTTGGCACATTTCAAGGATGGATCGCTTGTGATAATTTTGTTGTTTGCACAGTATTTTGGTATTCGTGAAATCAATACTGTATTTAGTTTGAAATGGCATATTGTGCAAGGATACAAGATGGTTTAGAAATCCTAATGTCGCTTTTGTGGGTCGTTAGTCGACCTTGAAGAGAGCGGCTTGTCCGGCCAATGTAGCGAGAATTGCACTCTGCATAGGGTATATGATAGACGACATTAGTTTGTTCTAGAGGTGCCAATGGAGTTTTTATCTTCGAAAATAACTTTCCTAAGATTCTGTTGTTTTTTAAAGCTATTTTTAAGGCTTGATTCGTGGGAAGTAGGGGAGCGAAGCATATTTTATGGTTTGTTCAGGAGTGAGGAGGAATTATTTATCCGTATTTTCTTAGAAATGGATCCATTTCTAACAAAAGGCGCACCGACCATTTAATATGAACTTGGACTAACTGACAAATCCCTAAAAACACACTACGGCTACAGATACTTCAGGTACTCCAGTAATATCATCAATGGTGGTGAGAATGAAACAAGGTTAAAGTTCAGAAACAAATAATTTCAGGACATGGCACATAAACGCTGATAATAATATACCTTTACAACACAAAGGTAGTGAAAGTTTATAACTTTTTGTTTCCTGTTTCTTGAAAGTATAAGTTGAAGATATTCAATATATTTAATTGAGTTTGGATCATTTATTTTTAAATTAAGCCCATGTGAAATAATAACTCAACCTAATACATATGTAAATATTGGAGTATTCAATAAATTTGATAATTGATTTCTATAAGTATCTATAGTAAAAACACTTTCAGATAATGTTCGTAAATAAAATACGCCATAAATGGTACTTCAGAATCTAAAGATATGATATCAGCTAAATGTAAAACAAAATATATATAAAGTTTTCGTAAACAATCAAAGAAAATGTCGGTAAAACTTCAAAGGAGCAGTACATTTTCAATCATTCAGAATAACACTTTAACTAGTGAATAACTTATCCCAGTTTATAATAATCTAAGTAATTTATTAATCGCACTTCACTTTTTCTACTTAAACGTAATTTTTAATCTACAAAAGTAAAGGAAAACACAAATCTAGGAATATCTAATGAACTTACGTAATATAGAAATACAAATTATTCTAAAAGTTTTCTTGTGGAAGATAAAAAAGAAAAAATACTTAAGGCCTTAGTACACGTTTGGCCAACTAGTTGGGCCAACGTATACAGAAGCACTTGGTGACCAGCGTTGGTCTACAAACCGAATGTTTTTGGTTTTTCGTGTACATATCAAAGGATTTTGGCGCGATTCTTCGGTACTGTTAGATATTTTTGCTGCTTAAGAAGTCTATTTACGAGCTACAATGACTGTTTGGAATAGCGAAAAAGTTTTAACGCCATTGTATTTTAATCACTGTCGTTTGGTGCACTTTTCTATAAAAATTGAAGCGATGTACAAATAAATTGTAGCGATTGCTACTGTCTTCACATCTACAATCAAAGTACACCCAATACAAAAGGTCAAGTTATTGGCACAACTAGTTGACCAAACGTGTATAATCCGACAAGCGAGAGCTGGCGGGTGAGCTGCGCGAAAATAGAAAAGGAATTATTCTAAGAGAGATAGGAGAGGTACTTAATCGCGATTATGGGTATATAGTACAGGTACTTAAACGGTTATACACGATGTGAACTCCTAGCCGACTGCAATAGAAATGAGCAATCTCTTCCACTTTTCAATTTGTTCTACACGCAACCCGCCAGCTCTCGTTTGTCGGGTTATACTGAGCATTTACAATTGATTTTATTGCAAGTGAGACGACCACTTTTGAGCTTTACAAATATAGCCCATCATACGTTCTCGTTAACAAGTTCTTTAAGTGCCGTCTCCCAATCAGAGGTTGAATATCTGGACGTCGAGGGTAACACAGCTTTCTGCATGATCTTATATAGATGTTCATTTAGATCCAGCTTTTTTATGTTTTCTAGAAGGTTCTTTGGAATTATTCTAGTAGTAGAGAATGATTGTCCGGGTACCTTCCATTCTCCATTGTCGTCGTATGGTTGGTTTAGAGAAGTCCCAGTTTGACCGCTATCTAAGACCGCTAAATAAGGTATCTCTTACTGAGTCATGCCGTTAATGCATGACAGCACCCTGTAAGATGTTAGAGGGTTTCTTGGGCTTGACATCCATATCAGTATTTGTCGTTTTGGACCTGGGGGTCTTTGATTTAATATTTCAGGTAATTTTTGATTGGTATAACCTGATCATGAAAGTTATCTCAG